CCCCCCCCCCCCCCCTTTGAGCACATGCCCCATGATAGATTTCGGGATGTTCAAGTTGCAGTGTGCAGATCGGCCGATCTTTGTAAGATACCACCGCGTCCCCTGAAGATATACATCACTTGATATACATGTAGGAGTACTCATCATGCCCCCGTTATCACCACACACGTGACAAGCGCGTGCTGGTGGGAAAGCGTGACGCGTGTGGGCGTTCCTCACCTCTCGCGTGGCTATTTTTTTCTGACTCGGTGGTGATGTTCGCACGTCCGACAAGCTTTGGGCACCAAGTGGAATCTCCGTACTCACGTTTGGTCCAACTTTTCGATTTGATGCACAACACCACAACGGTAGCAATGAATGTGTGCCACCGTGGAGTCTGTTCGTGGCGCAGCCGCCCTTAGCGGTGGTGTTGGGATTGGGGACTATGCTATCCCAGGAACGGCAGATGAAGGAAATCGATCATATGTTGTTCCACACGCAAGCCCCTCAGGCAAACGGGTCACACACGTATGCGTGTGGACAAACACACACCAACTACACCTACAACAAGGAACGCTCACCCCACGGGCGAGTACCAGGAGCGCAACCGCGCGTGCTCTCTCGGGGGGGGACGCACTTAGACTCCCAACCACATACATATCCTTCATACACATACTTCCCATGTGCGGATCCCCCACAGAGGACGCACAGTTCAGGCCCATACCCCAAGTACCGCAAACAAAGTCATGGCAAGCCTGCAGCTTCATCGGTACCGCAATGTCGAGAGATGTGGTTTCTATTCCCCATTGTCCTTCAATAGGTGGAAGAGTTCATGGTTGTAGCGGGGTGGCCTGACGCCCTCAGCATTGCAAGCGCTTTGGAACAAGTACGCCATGTGGCGTGGGAGGGTGGACGGACGTTGCGAGGCAAGTACGTGGTGCTCCTCGCTTCTGTAGAGGTGGGTGCAGGAAATTTCGAAAAATCATGTTTCTTTAACAACAAATGAAAGGAAACAAACCCCGCCAACCGAAACCTTGCCACCAGGTCGCCGGTGGACGTCTTTTCGTATTACCCCTGGGAACCTTCAGCGCACTGAAAAGCAAAGTGTGTCCACCAACATGTACTGCGTTGCCCATTTGCGCCTGTTCCTCTGCAAGATGTGCGCATGATCGCTTCTTTCTCAACAGGGACAATTGTTTGGAATAGGATGTACTACTCCTCAAAAATACAGGCCTTCCAGGCCATGCCTCATGCCTATTTTTACATACGTATACAACCTACCTCATCAATTAGCATTTCAACACAATGTTCAGGTTCGCTCTCTTGAAATACTGTCTGCGTTTGTCTTGAAGCTTGATACTACAATGCCATGTGATGAATACCGACTTCGACTCTCCTCCCTCGCTTTGTCCATCCAGGATATAAACGATGATGGCGATGGGCATCAGGCTTCGTGCAAGTTGACGAGGGCGGTGCTTGCGGGGGCCAGGCACACCACGAACGCTCATTTCGTTCTTGTGGCCAACGGATTTGAACTGGAACCGACCATCAGAGAAACCCTGGTGATGCTTTGTCGTTGATTGGTGTTGACCCAGAACTCCAATTTTTTATCACGGACTTCCCGTATTTTTTCTCTGTTCTTCGACGATTAAACAACGAACAACGGATGACTCTTGGATCTCGAGTAAACCTGCGCAACAGCAAAAATTAACGTAATGTGCTTTCCGATGTATTTCGAGAATGCAGAGCCATTTTCTGACATATTTCCGTTTGCGTGCGTATTCTGGCAGAACGCGTCCTTTGCCGCTTTGTAGATATTTGAAGACCAATGTTCCGAGCGAACGAAACGAGCTGAACGAAACCGGAGGTGGTACGAACTCTGGCAGCAGAGAAAAAAACAGATGGTTACGTTCATCTCCTGTTGATGTGCCCAAGGCACGATACACATATCGCTTCCGGAAATGGTGTAGTTGATTCTCCTGTTGTTTTCCTTTCAGCGTTGCTGGATTTCGTCATGTCCTCTGTTGCGCTTTGGATTTCGTCAGAAACTTTGCAATATCACTCGTGCGGTCACTGCGAACTACGGCGCTCCCAACGCGCGCTCGGCAACAACGTAGGGCGACGACCACAAGGCATGGGGAAACATTTTCCCGAAAATGACAACTAATCATGCACTAGTCTGCTTTCTGTTGTTGGAAGGTATCTATTCAGAGACCCTTCCACAATCCTCACTGGCCGTGGTTGCTGGCACGGCTAGGTCGAGGTGCGGTTCTCGATGATAAAGCTGATGTGTACTGGAACACCGTGGTAGACCCAAGTGGGTTGGCAAGCACGTAGCAAAAGCTAGATGCACGGAGATCGTCTTTGTTCTATTGTGGCGTCTTTTTCTCTTGCCGGACTTAATATTTTACGTTGAGCGCAGCTGCACGAGAATAGTAATTTCAGAACTGAAATAGTTCTTACTCCTCCAGCGTATGCATCATCTCATCATCTGTCAATTTTCTCCATTTGGTGGGCGTGGTCAATGTTGAAAATGGTCTCAACCCTTTGGTGCCACGGAGTTGAAAAACAAAACGCAAGTCAAGCATGGTTAGGGCTTTAAATATTAAAATTTTGAATCTGACGTTCATGTTGGATGTACATGTGTAAGAATCTTGATGAAAAGACCAACAGTGTCTTACACACTAGATACGTGCGTGTTCGATTTGGGGGGGGTTCCCGCGTGCGCGCACGCTTGTACAGAAATCTGCCTGAACGCAGCGGACTACATGAGATGTGTGGCGCATTCAGGTTTTCGATGATTTGGTGACTGTTTACATGCGTTGAACAAGCACATGCACACGAGACGAAGGGCCCTAAGAAACGCATCACTTTGAACTGTCATCCACGTTTGATCGCGTGGGTACTGCAGGAAAGCATGCTTGATGATGGGGGGTGGAGAAGTTTCACCGTTATCGAGGTGCCAGAGTTTCGGGGATTCTCTTCAGGTACGTTGATACATTTGTCCGTCTTTCTCGCCTCTCCGGTAGTTGGCCCCGTAGGTTGTTGCACAGCTGTACGAAATGGGTTTTGGTAGGCCAAGGTGCTATATCAATGGGAGATCAGTGCAGACCGTGTTGGTGTGAATGCGCAGCCTGCGGAACGTTTCGCCGACATGCTTCGCCACCAAAAATCTTGCTGATACAATCAAGCGAACATGAGAGCACGCAAAACCGGCCCCTCTGACGTCGTCGCAGCTCTCTTGCTTTGCCCTTCAACGAATACATGTAGAACGTGGGCTATAGGCATTTGGCTTCCTCAAACCGACTTATGCAACCGCTGGTTCGCGTGTGTTTCGGGTTCCCGCACGCCATGGACGCTGTTGCCTTCGGACTTGCGCGCGCAGCCGTCAACTTAGCCATGAAGACAGTACCGAGCAACTCTATAGTGGCCATCTTGCCCACGTCAGCGCTGTTGCTCCTCGTCAGAACCCTCGATTCGTCAGGGCCAATATCTACAGACACAGAACATGGTCACAGTGATGTCGACAGCGCTGCCAGGAGCGAGGGAGCGGCGATCGATATCTTTGTTGCTTACGAGCGCCTCAAAAGCAGTTCCCCCGTCTTTCCTTCTCCGATGACACTCAACAAGACAAAAACTTCCTCTTCGTCGCCACGAGAACAAACACGGTATTTCGGTACTAGCGTCTCGGAGGGGGTGCCGTACGACGAGTGTAAACATATCCGAGATCGGAGCGGCGATGGTGATGAAATAGAGGGCTTGCTTGTGACGGCCTTGCCCTCTCGTGCGACATCAGATCGACAAGTCGATTGTGACAATAGGTTCCTCAGGTTTCCACACGAGAAAGACGGCCCTAGAGCCGTACCTCCGGTGGGAGGTGAAGACCATGCCAAGGTCGGCTCTAAGGAAACCGGAGCAGCATGGTTGGGGCATTCAAGGGGATTGCAGCCGCCACCGCCGCAATCTCTTCGATCACCATCCCCGCCAACACCACGGCCACGGGAACTAATAGGCAAGAGCTTAAGTGACATGGCGCCCATACCCCTGCTCGTATTCGATACCGAAACGTTCTTGGCTCTGGGAGAGCTTGACGAACGTTTTTCCTTTCAGGGTGGAATCGCCGAGTGGATAAATCGAGCGAAGTTCGGTAGTAGTAACCACTACTGCAGCTGTGGACGTTCTTCTTGGCGACGCACCGAGTCCCCGAAAGAGACGCTTGCCAAAGCCAGTCGTAGAACCTCAACGGGACTCCCTTGTTCTGGCATCAACGTGCACCATGTCCACGAGGAAGAATGGGGCCGGCACTTCATAAGTTCTTGGTCGGAACCTGTTGAAAGGAGTGTTGATGGTGTCCACGCACGAGAGTTTACGGCCGAGCAACAAGTGGGAGATGAGCTACATCCCAGCGTCCATCCGCCTAGCCGAGGCGTGGATCAAAGCGAGGCTGGGAACCAGACCGTTTTATCAAATTGCATAAGCGGGGATGGCATTCAACAGCCCACCGATTTTGCCGATCGGCATGCATGCGACGAGGTCAGCCTCGACCAGCGGAATAGTCTACATTGGGCAAAGCTGGAAGCCCTGATTCAGGCCGATGCCGACTTATTTTTCTTGCGCCTGCTGCTCGTGGAGCAACCCTCAGGTGAAACATCACATGTAATCACATGTGCTCTGGATGAAGACACGCTTCAGAGTATTGGGATACAGACTTGGTTCAGGCATGTGTACCACCACGTTGTAACTCTGCCATACTTAGGAACATGGGTTTCGAAATCAACCAACAAGAGAAACGCTAGGTTTCGAAATCAAACAACAGGAGAAATGCTACATATGTTGCATCTTGAAAACTAAGGTAGGCGATAGCAACGGTTGGAATGTAATCGTCCCAGGGAGGCGACTGGGTATTGTGGTGACAATATTGTGAACAGCTCTACGTTTGTTTGCCTATCGCTCCGTTGGCCTACGTGGTAGCCACGAAAATCATCTTGTGGCTATGGTTGGGAGTTTGATTCTCGGCAATATATGTTCGTCCGAATGCTGTGCTTGATAGTGGGGAACGCCTGTGTTCAAGACAGGACGACTCCACCCTTATCTCGTTTCAACGCTGTACGCACGACCTTAGATCAGAGCTCTGAAATTGAGAGGAAAGGCGACAGCAATAGGCACCTGTCAGCAACCGCTATTGCCAATGGGATGACGAAAAACAATCTGTTGAATGGTACCTCGAGAACAGTGAAAATGGAATGCTCCCATCCATTGAAGTGAGTGAGTCTTTTTTCGTGTGCCTACGGCTGTCATCTACCCTTAAATCCGTTCCGTAGATTTGGCAACAGTCGACAAAGTCGATCCCGCGCAGCTCAGCATAGCTTTCCATTCGGAATGGATGGAGAGAGCCCCGGATACCGTTCTGGCACAAGGGGTATTAGACAGGCGAAAACGATTTCCCGTGGCGGCTGTGGTCGTGGTGAACGAGGATATATCTATTCTTCGGGCATCCCTGGAAGAGGTTGCGGTCGTGGTGGAGCACATCGTGAGTGAAAAACGATATTCAGTGAGTGGGCGACGCATTGTTTTGCTGAATTCTCAGCGAGCTGTCGCAGATAGCAGCAGTAATCACTGTTGTTGCCTCGCTTATATTCACATCTGACGCACTGGACTTCGATTTTATTTGCTGAGCCGGGTATTGTCAGACCCAGGACATGCGTTTTCGTCAACGTGCCGGCGCCAAGGACAACAGCTTCGCCATATGTGCTGATTTTTTTGCTGTGGCTTCCGCACGCATCGCGCTGACTCTGCTTGCAGCGTCATTCCCCGTGCTAGAACAGAAGTTTCGTTGTCTTTCGCGCACATTGCTTAACTCGTCGCTTTAAATTCTGTGTGTGCCTTGTATTTCTCACATTGCTCTCCCGTGACCATCCCGCAGCTCGTCGTGGTTAGCACAAGGCCGTGGCACGGGGACACAAAAATCGTAATCGCTACCTTGGAGCTGATGAACAACATGCTACAAGATGTCAATTCTGCCACTCATGGAAAGGCAAGTCCACCAAAAAACAGTGTCTATACTAGGCGACTCCTACCCTCTGGGTGGGGGGGGATTCTCCCACGTCTACGTTACCCCAACTTGTGTGTACGGAGGGTACTCATGGGCTTGGATGCCCGCATCTTCGGCCGACTAGCAGATACCTACGCAGATAAAGTACGCGCTCAACATCAGGAAACACCGTGCGATGACTGTTCCTTGTATGCGCATACTTTCTCCTGACTTTCTGCAGCTACAAGTCGAAGTCGGATCCTGGGCCACCGAAACTGAGCAAAGAGAGTACGGAAATTTGCTCATAAGGGAGGATCCTAGGTAAGAATTTATCGCACTCACGCTACTCGTGAAAGCACCGATTTCTCTTATTTCACAGACTTGCAACAGCTGCGGAACGTCTCTCCTACACCGACCTTCGGTGGGCGTCCGGCAACTGCTCGTGTGATCTGATTGACCCAGGACTCGCGCGCTGCCCCTAGACTACTAATCGACGTCGTAATTTGGCTGAGTCGAGATTTAAAAGGTGTTCCGTACGGTTGCCTGTGTTTCAGGAGGGCCAAACCGGCGACAGAAAACTTGGAAGGAACTGTTGATAGTCTAGCATTAACGTTGTGCCGGGTGTCCCATCTCCAGGCAATAAACCTCGTCGATCAGCTTGCGAATTCCTGATTGAGTTGCTACTTCGGGATGAAACTTTACTTGCCGGCTAGATACCCGCATCGCAGCCGCGTGCTGGGTCGTGCACATCTGTCCTTTGTTGTCATATTGACGTTTATATTTTGTATTTGCGTTGGATTGCTGGAACGAACGTGTGCAGGCATTTCTTCCGGGTGGTTGTGATGGATACGGACGAGTTCTGGCACCCTGCGGAACTTGCAAAGTGAGAGGATGAAGTATTAGTCAATACGTCGCAGACTTGTCAGTCCCTCACAACTTTGATGTTTGTGCCTGCCTCGCCTGACCTCGCAGAACAAATTGCATGGAGAAGGCATACGAATGTGTCCAATCCTACGGTATCGTTCGCCTGAACGCACTTACTTGAGCTCCACTCAATGGCTGGCGAAAAGACCACACCCCCTTTGTTGTAGCTATATCTGAGGGCGAAATCGGTATAGACTCTTGGCAATCCCTTCACGACATAAACTTTAGTAGCTCGGCTCAAATAAACACCTGCACTGAAGCTCCTTGATAAATCGAAAGCAGTGGGAAAATTGTTTCACACCGTCGTTTTGTTGTGTTTTTGTTTGCAGAGGCATAGTTGTTTTTGCTCTGAGTTCTTTGTTGCTCCCTTCCCGTAGGATGTTGAGACCCAGCGCAGTAGAACAAGTGAAAATGATACTCAGACTATCTCCGTTTCTTCAAATGCATCGTAGAAGCACACTACCAGGATACAGTATAATGTTGAGGCAAAGTGTTGAGTTAACAAGTCCCAGGCACGACTGGCAGAGGTACGCACTCAATTGAAGTTGAACTTGTCAGATGATAACGGGATTCTGAAATTACTCGTGCTACGCCGGTGCCGTTATTGATAATAATGCCGTTTTTGCTCTATTTAGAGTGATACGAGAACACGCAACAGCTACAATCGAGTGAGGTCTCTCTCATATATCATCGCTATGGACATCTGAGGGAATACCGGACGCCCAAAGACTAGTCCTGTGATCGAGACCTGACGCATTTTTCATTGGTCCTGTTGTGCAACCAGAGCGCTTGTGGTGATCGCGCAGCATCCGAAAACCATGGAATCTCGGGTACTGGTGGATTCATACTGGGCGAGCGTGCGCTCCGTTGTGTTTCCGCCGGAAGAAAGGGACGTCGTGTGGCTCGTAGACCCGTACCACTGTGTATGGTGAGGAAGCGATACTTCATGGAATCAATACTACCGTCCCTTTGTGGGAACAAGCAGCTTGCTTCTGTGCAGGTATTCTAAGAATTTTAGGAAGGAGGCAATGCCACTAACTTCATTTTTTGCTGTGCGCCCTGCGTAACTGTAGTCGATGTGCACCCCTGTGAATGTTTTTGGTTAGCGTCGTGTCCAGGGCTGGCATATCGCACATGGATTCGTACTCGAGGGAAGGACTTCAGACCACAGTACGACACAAGCCTCAGGCATATTTTTTTGCATGCAGGAAAGTAAACATGTTCTACTTTACATATCTTCCTCACCTTTCCGCGTCGGGTGGTCATTCCACTGCGGCCCCACCTTCATGACCCTGTTGACGACGACGTACGCTGAAGCAATGAGCGAGGGTAGGAGCCAGGACATAGTGTAGGCATGTAACATACTGGATATTGCATGCCTCGTATCATGTTCTTCAGATTCGTACACCTTAACCTCGTACCGTTGCCTTCATGTACTCACTGGTACCGTGTATCAGTTTTCATTGATTACAGACAGTGTGAAGCTCGACCGTATTATGTACCAGCCCCGAAAAATATCTCCTCTCACCTCTGCCGTATGATTTCAGGTATGCTTGAGTATCAGACGTACCCATCGTTGTGGTGTTGAATGCACGAGACATGTGGAGGCCATGAGGACCATTGTTGGTAATCATCTTTGTCGTCGTTGGCCTCACTAACTACTCTCCCCCCGTTCCGTTGTGGCCGTCCGTCGTGAATAAGGCATGCCTTCCGGAACGCTGAGTGCAGCACACCGGTTGGCAGCAAGCACTCCTTCTCCTTTGACATTGACCGTTCTATTGGAGTAATCCATCACTTGAGCTACTTCGAAGAGCGCCCTACTCTGGAGCAGCTTCGGCTCAGGTCGATATCTGGGACGCTCACAGCTGTCGATGCCAGCGATCGAAGTGGTCTTGCTGTGCCTCTGTGGGTCTCCGGAGATATTGCCGGCTTCACCTTCGGAAAGTCTCTTGTCGGGGCCGATGCCGTGTGGTCCATTCTGCTGGAGGCGACACCGCGAGCTCAATGCGCGCATCCTCCCTGCAGCAACGTATGTCTTAGCATGTTGACGGCATGATCATGTGAGTCTTTCGCACTTTGCTCCCCGAATCCTTTGACAATCGCAAGGCAACCTCGCTTGGTGATGGCGAGTATGAGTACGTTTTGTCGGTACGCCTAATCTCTGTGGTGTCGTTCGTGGCTGTATCATGATGGTAGGGAAAGCACATGCATGCAGCCTGGGCAGATCTAGGCGAAGAGATGTCGCGCATCAAGGGGGCGGTGGTGGTCAGGAGACCAGATCTCGTCAAGGCCCCAGACATGCTGGGGCCAGTCAACACATTAGACTTTGTGAAGACGTTCCAGTCGTACTTCGCGATTTTCAGGAGCTCCCTATTTCCCACCAGGTATGGAACTGTACTGTTTGCCCGACAAGCGGCGCAAATGAAATCGTCGTCCTCGTCGTTGGACATGTTGTGAAGCACAGGGTGAACGCCGATCGAAGAGTGATTCCCCCAAATAAAATTGATGGAAACTCAGAAATATAGAACAAAACACCCAATACCATTTAGACGCCTTCGTTTTTACCTTTGAATTCCCAGATAAATGGCCAGAAAGCGACTCTTTCGCACACTTTGCGTGAGAGACACCGCCTGAAGCGGCGATCGACCGTGAGCCAAACAATGAACGAGGATCTTATACCACATAGGTTTCGAAACACAAGAACATACCGTCGTTTTGGTTCTATCGTTTTCCGTTTCATTCCACGAAAGCTGATGTTGCTCTCCACGTGTAGTCTACGTCGTGGGCGCACTCCCAATCCTGACAGTAATATGCAGCACATACGAATCAAACACGGAAAAGAACAACTTTATATATGATTGTGCCGTATGCGGTTATCGCCCCGGGGACGCCGTAGAGTTGTAGGACTTGTTATTTTGCTGGGGACAAGAGCGCCCGGGTAAAGGTTGACGGATCCCCGACGTGTCTATTCCGGGACTTTAGCTTAACATCCGCCAACTGCAACCCATGCTCCTCACTATACCTAAATCGTTCAGTACGCTTCTCTTGTGTGCGGCGCCAATGGTTGCCGTAGGCATTGGCGGAACGAGTAGACTTGACCCACGGACTTCCGATAAATCGCGCTGAGCGACCCCAGAGAAACATGGCATCTCCGACACATGTTCTCGTGCGTTTATCGGCCTACTGATGCTCGTACGCCGCCGGTGGTATGATCGGATGGATAACGCACTCAAGTATGTGGAGAAGGCTGTTTAGAAAATAGAAATTACCATAATGTCGCTACGCTTGCATCGCATGATCGGGTTTGAGCGTCAGCATCAGAAGTGCACGTCCGCAGATCGCCTATAAGCAACAGCGGCAACAGCAGCAGCAGCAGCGCCAATAAAAGCGTAAAACGATAGTGGTGCAGATGTGCAGATTCGGCATCACAACCTGTATTCTATGCGCCCAAGTATGCGCTTTCGTGGGTTCCGCGTACGTTTTTTCGGCGGCACTCCTCTTGAAGGGAGATCTAGGATAATGTTAGCCCCCCCTGGCTCTCTGAAAGGCCTGAACAAGGTGATTTCTACACAGCCTGAGTTACGTGTTTGTATAGCGCGCATAGTCTCGAACTACACAAGATCGGTACACGTTTAAGGCTTGCGCGCCGGTTAAAATGCTGTTGTTTGTTCGAGATTACCAGCTTTTGTGAAGCAGGGCAAGGCCGCACGGCAGACCGAAGCTGCGGCTGCAGCAGTTGTATATGAAGTGCCTCCTGCTGAATGTCACGTGGCGCTGATTTACCAGGCAGATGTTTGATGAACATTACCTGGTCGAGGTCGACAAGGATTGGCTATTCTTTCAAGCCGTGGCGAATGGGGATTCGGAGGCAGCTAGGTGAGAGAACGGCTGCAAGATCTGGCGTTGAATTGGTCAAGTCGATAGAGGCCAAACACTCCACCACGTTCTGATGCTAGATGGCCTCGAGGAAGTTCCGTTCGTACCGTGCTCTGCACATTCGCATAAAAAATATTCTGCGTAACGTTTGTCAGCTTGTAAGACAGGCTCATGAAGTGTCCTGCTCGAGATGCTAGGAGGGTCGAATCGAATCGTGTCATGTTTCCAACTCCTCGAAGACCCTCCACGAAGACCCTTGAACCCTCTGGATATCACCATGTCTACTTCCGTGCCGCCCAAACCCGCCAGAGGGCCATGTTGGAACAGTTGTCTTCTTGCGTACCTGGCATGCGCTAAATACTGCACATGCCACTGCTGCCCCTCTGGCAGCTGCCTCATGGCGTCCCCACGTACCAACACGACAATCTATGCCGACCGGTCGAAAAAACACGTAAGACGTGACATCGCACTACGCAGGATGTTGAGAGCAGGGGGTTGGCGCCAAGCAAAAACAATGGGCAATGGCAGTTCGTGAAGGACACCTTGTTTCTCATTTTGGCAACCTACAATACCTGTGCTGGAGACTCTCTGCGCAACGGCCACTCCGTAAGCACCATCCGCCTTCCCGACTCGTTCCGGGCCGACGTTGCCAGCCCAGACCCTTTGGGGATACGTCGTGTAGAGCATCTTGCTAGCGTGACATCAGCTGGGTGAAGCGCCGACTGAAGGACACCCATACATGCCGGAAGACGCTAAGCCCTTTGGTTGCGCCGTTCGCGCATTCCTGGTTTCGTATTGTTTCTTACGAAAGGTTCTTGAGCACGTACCACGCAACCGTCGAGGTGCCCAAGCCGGCGAGTGATGGGTACGAAAACATCCCAACTCTGGTGGGCATGGCGGACGTGTTCATCAACAAGCTTGGCTACGTCTGGAACGAGAAGGCGAGATACCCCCGGAGGCGTTCGTTCAGTCCCCATCTTGGAGCCGAAACTCGGCCACGAGTATCTCGCCAGTCAAGCTATCTAGTAAATTTCATGTTAACTGTGCACTGATCGTTGCGATGCACTCAATTCCTCCTTTGCGGTGCCTCTGTCTGTTGTGCCTCGCGGTTTCCGACCTCCTCCGAAAGGACTACATTGTGCCCAAGTCCTGCAAGTCTCACTTGTTCGGCCCGCGAGCAAGCTCTGTTCTTCCGACCAGTGCCGAAAGACACGAGAAGGTGTGATTTATGCAAAAATTCTCTGACAACTCCGCAAGGAAACCACTTTCTCACCAACCGAACTAACGTGTCTTCAACCTCGGTCAGACAGCAAATGCCTTATCGGTTTTCCGGCTGATGCCATCGAGTTCGTGCGTGATAGGGCAGGCTTGAAAGAGGAATAAAACAACGTGATTGACCGCCATTTCTGCTCCGGATAAATACCCCCGAAACATCGTGCGTGCTTAGTCTCGACTATGCTGTTGGTAGCCCTAAACTCGACATTTGCCTCCCATTATCCCTTTGTCATGTTCGCATGCATGAAGGTCGTCGTGATAGCGCAATACTGGGGGGACGAGTACTACCATTTCCTGGTGGAAGCGCTGCCGCGGATCACTCTCATGCTGGACGTCCTTGTGGAAAACCTCGACATCAAGGTGCTATTAACTAGTGCGGTATCATGCTTTTGCGAGGAAGATGTCGTTGACCACATTAGTGCCGGACACCTGTGGTCTATTCACTTGGGCTGACCCAGACTTACGTATGGAAATCTGGTCTGACCATTACTGTAATAAGCTTGCTGAATCCCTCCCCATTCCCCATACGTGTGGCCGTCTCGTAAATATATTTCTGGACAAACAAGGTTGCAGTACATGCCCCCAAGCCAGGCAGCGAGAGCCACACCACGTACATTTACGAGCTTTTGGCGCTGCTCGGGATAGAGAGCGAACGAGTTATTTTCATCCAGACGGAGGTGAGCCCAGCTGGTCTTGTGTGCTGTGTTTCCGAAGAGGCACCGCAAGGTAAGCATGCAACTGCTTGAACCTTGATCGCCGAAGGACCTGTACCGCATCGTCCTGCTCACGGTATCTAGTTTGAGGTATCGCGTGTCGTAGGATTGCCGGGTTTGTAGACGGAATGAGCTTCCTCTCGTACGCGACTGACGTCGAACAAGCAAGCAGCACCTCCTTTGTCACGGTCCTGCAGCACTAATTGCCGCGAGCACATTCAACATTTAGAGTCAGGGAACTCGGTTACATTCCATGCAAGTCATCCAGCCCTAGAGTCTGAATCGTTTTCCCTCCATGTCGTTGATACTCCCGCTGTAGATTCATGCAGATCTCGCGATTCTACCAAGTTCGACACCGTGCGGCAGGCCAGACACACAAATGGTCAACATGCTGAGATCCGTCCTCTTGAAGGTGGGAAGACATGAATTGCGGTTCAAGTAGGCAGGCCGCGATGATTACCTTTCTTTTCAAGGGTACTTTGTCCATGGACATGACATGAGATTGCTCCATGGATATTTTCATGGTTATGCTCCAAACAGCTCGACAATGTGAAACAAGCCGGGTCCTTAACGTCTGTGGTCACTGCGAATATTGCTGATTCGGTCGGCGTACAAGAATTAGGATTTGGCTAATAGACGGTTACGGCTTGGTTGATACCCCTGGAGTCTGCATGCGTTGCACATATGCCACGTTGACTTTCATATTTAGCGCTAGGCTGCGGCGGTATATTATCAGAACGCTTCAGCACCACGACACCATGTAAAACCCATACTTCCGAAACAGTGATGACCGATCTCACCTTAGAGATTTTGTTGCACCCGATCGGGAACAAATTACAACATCTCCGGCAGGGAACCACGTGTATAGATAGGCCCCTTGAGGTCCGTTGACGTGTTCATGAACGCGGGCGTCCGTGGACAAGCTAGTGAACGCCCATGATGTGCGTGTTTATGTACGTGTCCATGTACATGTCCACGGACCACGTCTCAAACAATGCCAAGCATTGGGATCGGTGAGCGGATGCCGGCCGCTCCTGGTTCTCACGAGGTGTTCACTCCATCGCTTGCAGCTGCAGAGAATTTTCTCTCCTCAGCATGCGATGCGTGTCATAGCCGCTCCCCCGTTATCACAATGCTGATCTCGCCACCGACGAACCCCAGCCATCTTTCCTCTGTCGTATTTGGCTCTCTCTCGGGTCGCAGGCGATGTACCCCAGAACGCGAGGGATTCCTCCTCAGGTTCCGCGTCCAGTAATCGTGCTAGTGGTGCGCGAATCCAGGAGGTGGCTCAAGAACAACGACCAGGTGCGCCGGTGTGCCAGTGTGCCGGACTTGCCCGCACCTTTGATTTGGTCACTCGTCCACGCTTACCTTCGGTTCTAACGTGAACAACACGGTGAAAAGGAACGAGGGAGAATCAAGAAGGCTATTTCCCACTGAACTCCCGTCGGTCGACGGGCGTGTGGTGCGTTTTTTCTGAGGTGACAAAACCGTCAAGCTTCTGGTAGAAACGCGAACCAACTTCGAACATCATAGCAATGTGTAGCAGTTGCGGAATCAAGCTTGGGGGGACTCATATATTGCACGGCGACAGGAATAATCGTGCACCCTGGCCCAGGTTGGGCAATTCTCCCCTGTGGAGAAATCTGTTGTACAATAAACCTTAGGACGGGGTGCATAAATCGGTGTGTTGAACCTCTTTTAGGTAGAGTAACACGAAGACTTTAGCCACTGGCGAGAACAATAATGTGCCGTTCACGGATTTGACATCTTTGCTGTTCGACATCCCCTGTACGCCGTTCCGCTGTCATGGATCCTTTTCTTCTGGAAACCATAAATACATCTGGCCATGCATGAACATCTCGCAACACCGCATCAAAACACAATCAAACAATATAGCCAACATGTGTGCACATGCACCTCCATGTTCCGACCGCACAAGAAGCATCGGTAGCACTCAGAACCTCAGACTCTAGCTTGCAGAAATCGAAGAACACCGGTATACCCGCAGTATTGAGGGAGTTTTTGTGCCACGATCTGGTTCACCGTGATAGCCGAGGAGCATGAGCAACCAGTGGCGTAGAGGTACCACATCATTTCAAGAGTCAGTTACCCACACCATGACGTATATAACAGGCCATCCGCTATCTTCCAAGGCAGCGTAAGGTTTGTGGCCTACACGTCAATGGTTACACCCATGAGAGTACTTCCACGAGCTCCCACGACTTAAATAAATAGATAGGAAAATATGTGAGTTAGTGCTTTCTACTGTATCAGTCGCCCGCCGTTGTTCTAGCTGGAACAGAGGGTGTATGCTAATATGCCGGAGCTGAGCCAGGAAGAAGGCTATCGAATGCCGTCAGCGGTATTGAACTAAATGCTTTGCTCCCAACTCGTTCCTGCACAACCCATGCATGCGAAGGTCCGTGAGGCTTTAAAGCAGTACTTCCCCGACCACGACATTGTTGAGTTTTGGGGTATCGGCCCCATCATTCGGCAGATGCAGCTCTTCGCTACAGCTTCTGTCATCGTGGCTCCCCATGGGGCGGGCTTGTCCAACATGGTAGCTTCGCCTCTTCACACGCCGGTCCTGGAAATAGGGTCGCCCGACTGCTCAGCTTGCTACCTTCACCTGGCTCTGAAGGTGATCAGCGAGCGTCGCTGTGGGAAACATTTTCCAACTTTTCACAGGCTAGGGGACCTCGTGTGGGCCAACTTCCCCCTTCAAGTTCATATCGCTGGCTTGAATTGGGTCTTCGGTACATGCAGTCTGCTGACAATATTTTATTTGAAGCTATCACAATAACGTGAGCATGGCGCCGAAGAAACGTTTTTCACCTCGCTGTTGTTGTAGATGTTGTTACATCGTTGCTTCTGGTACTGCCGCATTGTGTTGTGTGTGTGTGTTTTCGTCCTATTTATTATGATTATGGCAACGGTCCCCCCATTTTTCGTGGTGAGACGTGTACTTCACTTTTTCAGCGTATGTAGAGTACTACACTTTTCAGTGTATTTTTTCGTACAACTACAACCATCCAGGGTCACACAGGAGGGAGAAACCACCAGGGTTTTTTTCTCCTTTTTTTTATTTTCATGCCCCACCTTTCTCCTGCGGTGCGTGCTGATTTTTTTTTTTTCCGCAAGGGTCCAGCCGTCCCTTTCCCTCGTCAACGGTGCTAACGTCGAAGTTTGGTACTCACGAGAGCTTTGTCGGCTAAATTTCGCGTTCACCCGCCAATTCAGCAAGTTTTCAATCCCATGGGAGTTCGAACTCACGACCCCTGCATTTATTGTTTTTCTTTCGAATTGCCTTTTTGCATTAATGTTTTCTCTTCACACGCGGGGAAGAGAGAGAAACCACGCCGACAGAACACGATTCCTGTAGACGCCCTCTGCGCCTGTCCTACCGTGTCTCTGTCCATTCATTCTACTGTCTCTCTCTCTTCCCAAAGAAAACAGCCCGGGGTTTCTCATTCCACCGGTGTGGGGAACTCTTCCTACTGTACGGAACATCTCAGACGACCAAGTTCCCAAATGGTACTCTACCATTTACTCTACCCGTTGCATTCCTTCCGTTCCCTCACCTTCGAAAGAAAAAGGGTGGGTGGGCGGGAAAGAACGCAACTTCTTGGCCTCCCAATCTGGCCAATCCTTGCTATCCCTCTCTGAGTTCACGTACTGCTGTTGTATAAATCTGCTATTCCACGCTGTCCAGCGAGCCTTCTCCTGCACGTGAACTCTCCGATAAAGTGACCATCCCAAAAGGACTCTTCTCAACCTGATACCCCGAAATACAGGAACAATAACGCCTCTGGCAAATTCGACCGTTTCAATAAACAGTAGTCTACATCGGCTATATCTGCCTCACCAAACTTGCTAATTATCGGTTTGGGAGGATACCACTAGGCCACCGGGGCGACCCGATGATCCGATACAAAAATATTAGCAGAAGCATGCTTTCCTCGTCTGCTCTCCCCCTACCACCCCAACGGCAGCTACAGCACGTGTACGCGAGGCACCCGGGGACCAAGGAACGTCGGACGGCATGCGCAAGCGCGTATGAACCAAACGTGGATGAAGTTGTTCGTCTCGTAAGGTGACAAATAGCACTTGGATGTCATAGTGTCTTTCTGCTCCGTGTACATAGAAACAGGGGAAGTAGTTTGTAATTTGCAGAGGGTTAGTATGCCGAGCTACCCTGCTGTTTGTTGCATCTGTTCTCGATGCTGGAAGGCACGTGCTGCTTGTGAGCGACACCGCGTAATCGGTGGAGTTGATCTCATTCCGTGGACAAGCATCACTCTGCACACGATACCCGCTTGTCTCGCAATCTTGCGGTTTACGAAGATGTTGTTTTGAACACCGTCTCCATGGCCTTTCATTCCCTTCTGAAGACAAAGTATTAAGTATTCTTCAAAACTTATCATTTGTTCAGAGGTCACCCATGTTTTCGAGCAATTGTTGGACTTGCGTTGAGATTACTGCTCGACCCCGCACACGGGTATTGTTCAGTTGAAGTTTGACGTTCATCCAACCAATATCCCTTGTCTCTCGGTGTGAAATTTTTGACCCATGTCCTTTCTGATCACCCTGACGCCTGCGCATATTCTGTATGCTTTCTCGTTTTCGCGGAACGGCCACCGCAGAGGCCTTTTGGAGGCCAAACAACAGGCCGATGCCATGGACCCCCCAAATCCTTTTCGGCATTTCTAGTGGTCTCAGGAGATTTGCAGGGATGGCTTAAGGTTCAGTTCCGATGCAAGAGGTGCCATAGAGTTTGGTCGTCCGCGGGGAACGTGCGAAATCAAAGTCGTATGGTTGTCTAAGGAAGCAGCTCTTGGCTGGCTGTATCTACGCGGGCAAGTCTGTCGCCGTGAGTATGCACGTTTTGGCTTTTTGAATGCGTGCTTCGGCCTCTTCGTTGGTGGCCTCCATTGTTGCCTAGAAGAAATGTGTAGGTTACGGCATCTATGTCGTTGAACCATGGCGATCAAGATACGCCACGAGGTAACTTGATCTACATGTAATCTGCGTGGCAACCGCATTCCGTATTGTGAGCAGATTCAAGACTTCGCCGTTGGCGTCCAGAGGGTGTTTTCCAGGCGACCTCGAGATTAAATCTACAGACGGACGTGGAAAGACTGTCCATATATCTTGGTGTGATCAAATGGCAATATGGGGAGATACGAAATCTCAACTCAATCAAATCCGCTCAGACCACCTTGCACATTTCTTTTCAGCGCATGACGCCAGTCGCCCCGGTGGCCTAGTGGTTCAACCTCGTACGAAAGCCCAGGTTGACAGGCAGGTGCTGTAGCAAAAAGTGTTTTGGATACTTGTTTGTCTCCAGGTAGATATGGATATGAAATACCGTATTGCACCACGATACTCCTCCACGCCTTGGGGTTTCCGACATGGCGCGCGCGCAGTTTAGCGCTAAGCAAGCAAAGCTTATTTCTCTGGCCACCTTCGGCCCAACGGGCGACATGTGGGCTAGAGGCTGCTCCAGCAGGTGCATCGGGGTATGCATGAGAACCTTCCGAATACAACCCTAGGGAGTTGCGGGGTGTCGGTCACCTCTCGGCGGTCTCCAGGCCCAGACGATTTTCTGTTTCTACCGTTTCTGTCTTTAATCCGAAGAAAAACAACTTAGTCTCCCCCATGACGCCCCCTCTCGCGGTCCCAGATGATGGCATCCAGAAACATTTTTTGTTTGCTACTGCACTGAGACTATGACGTCAGTTCATTGACCAGCCGGTTAGCAATGTCGACGCAAAAAATGTGCACACACAGGCAGAGAAACACAACAGCCTCAGCATAAACGCTTCCGCATGTTTGCCCGGAATTTCCAGTGTATGTCCCCGCCTTAGTGAGAACGCCTCAGGTTTAAACCCGGGGATCTCTTCTACATATGTCCCCCCAAAAAAAATATAACGGCGAAAACAAAATCACCTCCCCCGAAGATTTTCGATACGTGGGCGTACACTGTACGCATGTGTCTCTAAATAATAGTCTATTGCGGGTACAATACCCTTGGCATGTCTACCACTAATCCAGCCAAATCACGACGAGTGGGGCAGCATCAGATATCGTGTCCGAACAGAAATGTGAGTTTCGCCATACGTGGTAACCCTTTGGTGTGGCCTTATTGAGATACCGTCCTCCCGGTGTTAGGGATAAGGCACATCGTACGCTGCCGTTCGGTCCACTCCTCGAACACTGTTGCCTCGCATCCCCGTATACCTTGGCGAAATCCTTTCCCATTGCTATCATCCTCACTGCCGCTTCCGCCGTTGATTTTTTTATCTGCGCCCTCACCAGCGCTGATGCTAGGCTGCCTACCCGACTCGGAGTAGGCTTTTCCTTGAATGCTATCTTCGAAGCAATCTACCGTCCCGTCCAAAGTTCCATCCAGAAGCTTGTTCTCGGCCCGATGAACGCCTCTCTGGACCCTCGCCCCGCTGGTGGGGTTGGCGCTACCCGCCACCGCAGCTGCCCCATCTGACGAAGGTGTAGTGCAGCGCTCGTCCGGAGTGTTGAAGGTAGTAGCGATATTTTCTCTGCCCTTCTTCGCGTCCAGGTGGAGGGCGCGCAGGGGCGGAGTAAGTCGAAACAAGGGCTGTGGCACGACCCGCTTGTATGCCACAGGAATCACAGGATGGAGATCCGTCAGTGAGTGGTTGGTCGCCCACCCAAGCCAACTTCTCTCGTACCATCCACTCTGGTTACCACACGCGTGGAGAAAACACGATTGATTGGGTGCCGTGAATGTACGTAAGGAGGATGGGGAACGCGTGAAAGCCGTGCAGAAGACTCAGTTGTTGAGTGTGTATCGAGGCGACGTTCTCGTGAACAATTGACTTTACTCCACGAGACACGTGGCCTAACAAACTCTGCTGGCGACAGAAAAAGTCAGTTGCCGGTCATTACAATATCCAGAGCGGCGCCACCAATGTTTTACGGGCCGATGTCACGCCCTCGGAGTGAGCGCTGCCCCTCACGGTGCATTTTGCTCTGATTCTGTTCTTCTATTTCTTTGGCACGTACCGCACTCTGGAAACACGTTGGGGATGCGCTCTCGAAACTGTTTCTCCATCGGGTACACCCTGCCCTAAACGATTAAAACCGCTCAGAAACCAAGGGTTTTCATTTCAAGGCGAGGGGTTCTGTGACGGTGGGAAAGCATGCTGCCAGGGAATAGGTGCGACGAAACAATATTGCTACAGTACACCTACGCCAGAACAGGAATTACTGCATGACAAGGCCCGCACCGCTACATACCTGTTCCTCTCCGGCGTGCGAAAATGTTGCCATTTTTCGTCGTATGTCTTCTTCCACCCTAACGTAGCTCAGGTGATGAACCACCGCATCGTTTCTCTGTAGGCGCAACGCGGTGTGGTGCTCTTCCCCCAACTCGATGTCACAAATAACCTCTCGATGTTGGTGCCTGAATTGGAAACGGCCGGTATTCGAAACAACGAAGCGGCAAGGGAGCCGGCGGTAATTGGCCAATAGATCGAGCATCCCCAGAGAAGGCAACAATGAAGAAGTAGCTATATTGTTGAAGCGCAACTGGCCGAACAATGGTCTCTGACCTTCAAGATCATGGCACCAAAGCGACCGACGTGTTATGATATGTCAGTTTCTACTCATTTCAACGGGGGAGAGCATTTTTCCCGACGGATTGTTGGTTTGTGGTCTGCGTGTGAGCAGCGATGTCTTATGATACAGTGCCCACACGGCTTCTGCATGACCTGTAGTCGAAGTCTAGAAGTGCTGGGGGCCCGCCCGACAAAGTGAACTGTGTTGCGCAAGAGTAAGGCGAGCAAAATATTCCTACCTTAAATCATCTTGGTTTCGCTAAACAACACAAAACTCAAGAAACACCAGGTAAACGAGCCGACTTTTTCTGGGCCGCCGTAGAAAGCGAGCAGCACGCGGCCAAAGTAATGAGTATTCTTCGAAACTACTCAAAGGAAGATACGCCGGAAATGTTCTGCGTGGAGCCATATCAGTGGGGACGTTATACATTCCTCACACAGACCGCACGGCTTGACTCGGTGATACGCTACTGTAAGAGTGGACTAACAAACCATTTCGTAGTTTCCGTCCATTGCCATTCTTTCCAAGACATGTCAGGCACAACAATCCCAGAAGCGCACGAGCATAAAAACATGGGGATACTCCAAAGAGATGTACAGGCCTAGATACTGTTAAAGAATGCGAGACTTTTGGTTCGCTTCCTGCCGTAGCATCCTCTCTCACCACACACAGCGGCGAGGGTCAACCAGCCAAAGAGCTTGCAGCTTCTCCGGCGGAGATACCACCGACCTCACGCTCGCCCAATACGTGTCCATTTCCGCTTGAGCGAACGCCACTTTGTACTGTTGCGCGGCTAGCACTAGAGCCCTGGCCACGCGATAAAACCCGTGGAATCGACATCGTCATCAGGTTGAGCAATTCACTGAGGGATTCAGACAATGGTGGACATCGGTATGATCTCTTTAACTTATGTTAGCAACTGTGCTAGGAATTCTCGATGGTACAAAGTGATTGCTCGAGGTGAGGGGTATCATAACTTCGAGCACGAAGAATAACTCCTTACACACACGGATTAATCATGATTCACTTGTAGCATGATTTTGACACAAACGACATGTTCTCCCCATGAGGAGGCTGGAAAAGCTGTGGCAGGCGGCTGCCAGGCCTTCAACTCAAGCACGGGACCCTCTATCTTACTTTGAGAGTTCCACAGGATGCCAGAATTCGTCCGTGTCTATGACGACAACCCTGGAGAAGTTCCTGATCGGGTTAAACAACGACCGAGGTAGGAAGAACGAAGTGATGGCCCCGCGATGACTCTGTAACATGCGAAATGAGGTCGACACTGCGTGTAACCTGAACTTGTACGCCACGCGGAGGATTGTTTGAGAAGTCCAAGGAGGATATAGACTAGCCAAGCTTCGACAAACACTCCACCGCGCGAAATACCACACATGAAGGGATAAAAACTGTTCAATTGGGACGCGTCGTGTGCGGAGGATCCCAGCAGCATCGGGGCACAACGGCACCACAGGAACGATAGCATTCAAACGGGTTGCTCGAAGCTGTGCTCTCACCTGACATCTTCCCTGATTAAAGCATTTCCGTACTCTCGTTGCGCGGGTTCTGTGGCCCAGGATCCGACCTCGACCCGAAGCTACCAACGTCAAGCACAAATCAAGGCTGGAGAATGTCACAATTGAGACATATGTTGATGCCTTTAGCATTAGAATTGACATATTCTCGGCATGACTGCAGACGGGACAACAACGAGTATCCTTTGAAACATACCCCGGACGAGATCGACAACGCTCGCAGTAGACATTCGCCCTCGGGATGATCAAGGGGCATGCATAAGGGGGAGCGAAGAGAATGTCTCGCGGACTGAAAGTCTCGGGGTTGTTGCAGAAACAAGTTCACACACAAAATGTGTTCGCGCGTATTGTCCCGACTTTAGACTGAATTATTTCCATTGGTCAGCCGGTCAACGCGGTGGATGCTTAGTTTAGAATCATTCACAAACACACACCGGCCACGATATTGGGACAACAGAGCATCGACGAGAAAAAACACCATAAAACTAGGAGCTATCCCCACGCTTGGGAACGCTTGCAGCTGCGAACTACGATAGCACCTCCTCCAACAGAAATGAAATGTAAAATACGCCCCGCCGCATCACTAGGCCCACGCCTCGTTTGAAAATCGCCGAAAGGTAGCCGTGTTGGACTATAGCTGCCTCATCTGCGCTGACAGTCAGGCGATCGGGAATCGTGGTGCGGCCGTAGTCTTCGCAGTTTATCAGAAGGCCATGGAATCCCCCTCGTTCGTTCGTCACCTACAAAGCTCGACTAATTGTTGTGTCTACTTCGTTGTTGTGGAACAGGAAATAACAATCACCACCAACACCCTTCTTAACTACAGAAGAAAAATACCTTGGCTTCTTGCGTGTTGTGCCCCTGAGGGGCGGACAGTTTCTGACGCGAGAAAATACAACTCCAGGAGATTTTCCAAGCCTTCTATAGCTTCCTAGGCCATGTTGTTTTGGTTTGGGGGAGGAGAGATGATGTTGCAGAGGATGTGGTGGGAAAGCTACTATCATGAACAAGCCTCACGCAGCAGCCGCTTGTCCGCCGAAAGAGTTTGGGTCACTGTGTGTACCAATAACCGTGTGTGTACAACAAACGCATATGGTCGCCTACCTTGCCGCGAGTGGGAGAGTCGGCATCCTGAAGCATACATTCCAGCATTCTCAAGGTAGGAGAAACGTCCGTGGCAGACTCGTGCCATGGCCTCACGCTCACGACGACTAGCTGTGGGGACGCGTTGCGGGAAAGTGTGGGAACGAAATGAATGTGTGGTACAGGGCAGTGGAGCGGTGAACCATAAGGTAAACAAATAGATTATACAACATTCAAAGCTAAAGGGGTATGGTTGCTAAAACAATCAACTGAAGCTCTAGGTAAAATATAGCTACACTGCGACCATGAAAGAATGATTACCTCTGCCGACAGAAGCACATGCAAATACTCGTTTACACCTACTAGGATACCTTCGCTGCCTTTGTCCCTATTGCAGAGCCAGGAAATAGGAGAACGTCGACATCAACGTGATAGCAACTAAGTGCAATTATGGCTACTTGTTCGTGACGCGAGACAGTTGGTATCTGTAGATGACGTTCCTCCTTGGAGGCTTCTCAACAACCTCACAAATTTCCCACATACATCGCACACAAGTTTATTACTCACGATGTGTTCCACCACTGCCGCAACCTCTTCCAGAACGGCGCGCATCAGGGAAATGTCGTCGTGTACGACGACGACCACCGCCACGGGGAATCGTTTCCGCCTCTCCAGAGCCTCGCGCGCCAGACGTTTGTTCGGAGATCTCCCCATCCACTCCGAGTGGAAAGAAATGCAGAGTTCCTTGGGGTCCTTTTCGCCGTTGGGTGCCCCCTCTTGGAAGCACAGATTCAGCATATGTCGTTGGCAGTATATTCAGTCATCCGCGTACCGTTCGCAATCGAAACGAATAGCCCATATCTGCCGGCCGCCCCGCCCCCCCTTGAGTCGACTTCGTGTCACCGCTACGGCGTCTGGCGTCATCTGCATGGTTGTGTACCTACGGTGATTTGCTGATCTTCTGTCATATCTATCATGTTCTTAGTCTTAGTCGAGTTTTCATCGCCTACAAGGACCAAGACTGGGACATGAGCCCGCCACCTTTGGGTCTGGCGTCTACAGGTACATGTGCTAGCGACAGTATGAGCAGTTGACCTCCTACACCTGTGACGTTCATTCCCCTGTGTGGTTCAGTCGTTCTCCCGTAAACTCATGCGAACTAAAACCCGCAAAATTGCAGTCAGCATGGACCTTTTCACCAACTTTAATACGCTTCGGGCTCCAATTTTGCTTCCCGGGATTTTCTGGTGAATAAATGGAGATAGCAGTGCACACTGTCGTCTCAGAAACTCTGCTTTGCAACAAACAAGTGTTGTCATCCTACCTGAAGATGGCTCCCACAGCAGCAGTGGCAAGAAAAATAAGTCAGCATCGGCTTGAACCAAGTCCTCCAATTTCGCGGGAGGTAATCCATGCCATTGGTCAATTACGACCTCGCCGCTTGCGTGCAGATCTTCAAAGCCATCCCGCCGGCGAAATTCGTCCTCACCACCACCTTCATGCTGAAAAGTATTTTTGTCAACTCCAAGCCGTTGCACACCACTGAGCGGATCCCCCCTGGCATGGCGTGCATTTTGCAAGAACTGGTCGGTGGTAGAACCTCTTGATTGCTTAGCTTCGTCAAAATCCATATCATCCTCAGGCCAAGACACGATATACTGTATGCCCCAATCATAATCGTGTACATGTTGCACAGCGCCGTCAGAACTGGAGCATCCAGTAGAGCCTCCACCACCCTTTGTTGCGTGCGTCCTGGCATTTGACCTGTGGTGTCGCCGGCAAGATGCTTGACCACCGTAGTCATCGCTCCCAGCATTTTTACTGGTACCGCCGTGGGTGCTCCCCAGTTTCGCTCTATTGATCCATTCGGCGACACCGCCCTGAAAGGCAAAACGTTCGTCGAGCTCTCCAAGGGCCAAGAAAGTTTCGGTATCAAACACGAGAAGAGGCAAGGGCGCCACGTCGCTCAGCCTCATACCCAGTGGTTGCCGTGGTGGTGACGGTGCCCGCAATGAACCCGCTGTTGAGTATGCCCGCCCTAAGTCGTTGACTTCCTCGCTCCAGTCCTGTGCATGTTTCACCTCTTCCTCTACTGCAGGTACCCTTCTGTGACCGTCTGCATCTGATGCAGTTGAGACGTCTTCATCGTCTAGCCTTCGCCTTTCCCGTGAGAGTGATGCAGTGACAAGCAAGCCTTTGCCCTTGTCTCCGATGTTACTATGGTGGTGGACCCGACCATACTCGTCATACCGCCCCCCCTTCGAATCGGCACGTTTTTCCCTGCCGTCAACGCGAATATCGGGCTCTCCTGTTTCTCCCCGAGGCGACGCAGTACCGGAAATCGTTGAGTTCAATCCCTTCGGTGGGGGTAGTGTGGTCGCCCTGAGTCGTTCATAGGCAACAAAAATGTCGCTTGCTATCCTTCCGCCACCGATATCGTTGTTGACGCTTCCACGAATGTATTCCCGGTTCAAGGTCGGTGGAGCGGAGGGCCCGTTGGCGGTGGTGGGGAGCAACAGGAATGACGTGGACAAGACGGCCACTACTGAGCGCCCAGATGCGGTCTGCATGGCTCGGTTGATGGCTGCGTATGAATGCCCGACGGAAACGGCAGCACCATATCAACATTGGAAGCCGAAACGGGTGCATGAACGCTCACTGGATGGTAAAGAGCGTACACCAGCACTTGACGGGACGTAAGCTTCGGTAAAGAGCACGGTTGCTTTACTACTCCGATCTTGAACTTTTCAAAGGAGAAAGTAGGACAAGGAACTTATTCTCGAACAGGAGCCTGTTCAACACCAGGCTGGAAAGCGCCCTATGTTAACGATACTGCTATCCGAGCGCCCGTGCTCTCACCAGAAGAAAAGCCTTCGAATTCAGTCACCTCGATCGCAGTGAAACTTTTCCATCCTCCATTGGCAAGCACGCCCCTCTTTAGTGTGCGCGCGACAGGTTTTGGTTGCAACATATCGAAAAATATGCAACGCACGCGAGGCGTGTGTAACCAACCATTAGCTGCGTCGCGGTACGTCATGCATTTTCAGCAATACCGATTGTCCACCTCCAACTTGCTGCACAATGTCCGTTACGTTACCACAAACATAATAACGTTCTCGACGCGCATGTCCATCACGACGGTGGTGGACCTTTGCGGAGCTGGGCTAGATTTGTACGGGAGCCTATGAAGTACTTTGAACGACTCTGGAGACTTTCAAGGTGATGCGCGGCGAAAACAGTCTTTACAAGGTACAAGGATAAGCGTGCATCGATGCAAAACTCACCACCGTTTCTCTTGTCGCCATGTCCAGTTCGAACCCATCAGCGACGAGCACAAAGTCTGCATTGGAGGTATGCCTCGACGCTGCCAAAACCGCTTTAGTCAGCCCATCGGATCGCGCATCCTGTTTGAGTACCAGCGTTCAGAGACAGACATGCCACTTGAAGAGTCCCGGTCCAAAATACTGCTACACAGCAGAGCTTGTCATACTCAGGGTGAGGTAGACATCAGAAAACGGTATACCGGGGGCGTTCAGTGACCGTTCATAAGGCTGAGTGTAACGGGGTGGCTGCCTGGTTGTTGAACAGCGGATGAAGAGCACCCGCCGAGAAACGCAATCATGCGAGGAGGCCCTCTCTACGGTTGTGCATCCTGTGCGAACAACAATCCTACGTCGGCGGCGGTTCATTAGGTAAACTCGCAACGACCTGACGGCTGTACGTGGGTTCAAATTCTCGTTGCAGTAACATGAATGGGAAGGTTTCTACAACATACCCGAACAAACTGAAAGCAATAACCTCGTGTGTACGTAAAGATTCGACTTCACAGTCGACGAGGGAAAGGAACGGTTGAATCCTTCTCGCCATCAAAATCAAGGCACGCTCCATGGAGAATTGAATATTGGCATGACCTTCCTTCTGTGTGACCCCGGCTGGTGCGTTCAGACCAACGTCCGAAATACGTTGGAAAAAGGGTCTGGACTCGAACCATGGATTCCCCCCTCAAACGTCAGGGGTGAGATTGGTGGATATGATCGGTGGGCCCCACGGGCGAAACACGCATGAAATCGAAAATCTCCGTTGTGTTTCGTAGTGCGAAGATGGCTATGTTCTGTCCGGTCTATTTGGACTTAACAGCAGAGATATTTCTTCACCTCTGCGAACGCAAGTAGCACAACAAGTTTTCGTCGCAATGTTCGGCCAGCGGCCCAGGACACATGGCGCACTTGATCCAAGGCGCTCTCGACACCGAGCTGGTCCTCTCCCTCCCCGACCATGAAGTCTTCCACCTACGCCGTGATAAGAAAAATAAATGTCGCACTTCATTGGAATGTCAATATGTACGTTGGGCTCAAATTGGCCTTCAACTACCATGCACGCACGCCGACCCGTGTTTTTCGCCTTTGAGCTGGGTTTGAAACTCTTGTCTGCTTGATCCGATCGCCTGGATGGTTCTGTTGGTAACCCCGTCGCCTCCAAGTTGTAGGTTCGAATCTATCTGGAGTAAACATTGCAGCTCAGGCTTGTCATGAGGAAACACGACGTACTGCTGATCACACTCTTTGCGTTTGAATTGAAGGCAAAACGGCCGGAGGAAACAAAGGTAGAGAAAAAATTGAAAGCACGACGTACGAATCACGTCTACAGAAATGAACTCCGATGTAGACTATTTCTTCCTCCTACCTGACCCCTGCTGGTGCGTCAAACGCTTAAATACCGAAGGTAGGCGTGGACCTCTGTAGCCCAGAATATACGAAGAGTGTATCGTAGATGGGACGAAAATTGAGACCGATCAATGCGTTGCCGCACCTGTATAATAATCGGGATATCTACAACGGCAAGACAACACTATACTCAACGACAAATTCGACCTACACCTTCCTGCATATGTAAGCCAATACTACGTAACCTATTGTACTAACTAACACTGGTACATGTACCTGTCGATCAGCGGGCAGGTCAAGGTACAGGTTTGAGAGATCGGAGACAACAACAACCAATGTGAAGGCGCCGCACCTTGGCGGCCCAGTGTGGATCCTCAGCAAATATCTTCAAATCCAAGGCAGACGTGCGTGGGGCTCCCTTCCCAGAAGGAGGAGGAATCGATGTCAGTACCGCCAACTGATCCTGGTTCTGCGCGTCCCCGACAAAAACACACTTGGATACGTTCGGAGGCTGCTGTTGGCCGATAGCCAGTGCCGCGATCGGCACGAAAAGAGCGGCGGCGTATGCACATGCATATGCATACAGGCCGTAAGTCCCTACGCCCGATATCATAATACCGCCTTCGTATCAGGGCGACAGTGCAGCACGAGCAGACTCCAGCTCTCCACAAGTTGCTGTGGAGAAGAGTTGGTTATATTTCGACGGGTGTGAAATGCCTGATCGTCTGCTCCCATCTCTCGTCTCTCATTTTACCGCAGACAGAGGCGCCAGAACCAGTTCTTGTAGGGGGTTCGCCCTGGTGGGAGGGAAGTTGGAAATGAAAATGATTTATGGAGCCCGGGGCGGCGCCCGGGCATCTGCCCTCGAGGGTAGAGCGGAATCGGCCTGCCCTCAAAACGCCTCAGGAACCAATCCTTACAGACCCTTTTTGAATCCGAACTCCGAACACACACACAGCAACGTCTCACACACAACGGCACAGCACAGCCTTTTTGAATCCGAACTCCGAACACACACACAGCAACGTCTCACACACAACGGCACAGCACAGCCTTTTTGAATCCGAACTCCGAACACACACACAGCAACACAACGGCACAGCCTGACACGCAGCAGCAGACCAAAGGCGCGTACCGCGACGCCTGATAGACCCTCAGTAGACCACCACCCGATGCATGGAGGCTACACATGGTGCTGCCGCTTTGGCGANTTAGAGCCCCGCCGGCTCCAGCTAGCACCCCGCCCGCTCCGACAAACACCTGTCCTGGAGCAGCTCCACAAGGCAGCCAAGTCCAGTTGAACAGATCTCAAGGTGTGTCAGAATGTTGGCGTACAACGTAGTTGAACAGAATGAATATGTTGGCCGCCTCTATATAATAGCCAGATACACATCGTCTGTTGTCTGTGGTACACACAGACTATCTATGGTCCGTGCACAACAATTTGTCCAATCACGTTTTGTGCGATGACTTTTTT